TGTGTGTGTGTGTGTGTGTGTGTGTGTGTGTGTGTCTGTGTGTGTCTGTGTGTGTGTGTGTGTGTCGCCTCGCTCTCCACCGGCATTGAAACGCAGAATGATTCACCCTCCTCTTTCCTCACCCAACACACTCACTCACTCACTCACACACACACACACACTCACTCACTCACTCACTCACTCACTCACTCACACTGTAGAGCGCAACTGGGATATCCGCCTGCCTGGGTTAAGTGTTGAGGATTCGCACATGAGACGACAAGCCGCCGTCACAAGCAGCAAACACAAGGAGGTACACACACACACACACACACACACACACACACTCACACTCACTCACTCACTCACTCACACGCACACGCACGCACACGCACACGCACGCACACACACACACACGCACACACACACACACCGTTCTGTCTCTGCGTGAGCACTGCACTGCACGCGTCCCTTGCTTGCCCTCCGTCACCCAACAACACATCCCTCACATACTCACACGCACAACATGGTGGTCATCTCGCATCACATTACAACGCGCACACACACACACAGCGCGTGAAAGCCGTGTTGTCAGACATGAAGGAAGCAAGCGGACCGGCCAAGAAACGAAGCAAGAAAGGCACAAAGTGATGCTTTTGTGTTGTGTAGTAGCTCTGTGTGTGTGTGTGTGAGGTGTGTCTGTGTCTGTATGTGTCTGTGTGTGTGTGCATGTATGTGTGTGTGTGCGTGTGTGGGTGTGGGTGGGCGGGTGTGTCAACCTGTCTGACTGTGTGTCTGTGCTTCAGCGCTCGATAAGAGGCCGAGCGATAAGTGTCGTCCATTCGACAGCATAAAAATATCAGTGTCCATATCCACTGTCCCCCAATCCACAACAGCCATGCACAGTGCGTTGACGCGAGGGAATGCCATCTTCTCGCTCGGCTTCACATGCGTGGCGCTGGCCACGTTCCTGTGTGCCGTGACCACGGTGTTTGAGAACCCTTCGCCTGTCGTTTCGGTCAACATTCACAACCCGTTTGTGTGAGTGCAATGACTTGCAACCCCTGTCTTGTGCTGCGTGTGGATACGCATGTGTCGGCAGGTTTGCCGCAACAGAGTGTTGTTGGTGGCGGATGCGTGATCCGGCTGCCACGCTGCCACGCTGCCACGCTGCCATGTTGCATTGGTATCTGCTTTCTTGTCGACGTGTACACTAGGTACCCGGCTCACGGTGTGTTTCTTTTCGCAGCCGGAACCAGCAGCAGTACCACCGCTGGAGCCAGCGCTTCGATCGCGCATACTTTACATTCGACCTCAACGCTGGTACGTGCATGCCTGTCACAGCAAACGTTGTCGCATCGTGTACGACTGTGCGCCTACGCTTCACTGGTTCTGTGTATCTGTCTGTGCGTTTCTCTGTCTGTGTATCTGCTGGGCTGGCTGTCGGGCTGCTCCTTCCCCTATGTGCCCTCATGTCAACCACG